ACAAAGATGTATTTACTTATGCATGAAATATTTAATTTCAACACATGTAGAGGGTATAATAAAAAAAATATGCCAATGAAAGAAAAATACATATACTTTCCCAAATGCTAAGAATAATAGTTATAAAATGATCATGAAAACATATCAAACAATGCAATAATAAAAACCTGACTTAATGAGGTAGCTAATTTCTTATTTGTATGATTAAAAGGATCCTGGCTTTTGAGCTACATTCATTTTACAAATTGCATTTCAAAATAAAAAAATTCAGTTCCAGTGCTAGTAGGGTTGTTGTGAGTGAGAGTGCCGCGTGGTTGTATGAGCCATACACATTATATTTTGGCACAAAGCAGCTTGAGTTTCTAGTGAAAGCACGATTTTGACTTGCCTAAAACGCTCCAAAAGTGTGCGATGATGTAACGTTTTGGAAAGAGGCCCAGCTCTACGATTATTCTGGCCAAACAGATGACTGTAGTATCAATTACCAACATTTAACTTACCAATGAATCTGGATTGACCTGACAGGCCATTGGAGTATGATATGATTGCAATTATTATTTAACATTTGTTTAAGCAGATATAATTACAATCCAAGCATAATAGAGAATTAAGTGGCATTAGTTTATACAGTGTGGGTCTTGTGGTGCAGTTGTTAGCACATTGCGCGACGAACCTGGTGACCAAGGTTTGATCAGGGTGAACATCAGTGGCAAATTGTATCTGAACTGATCCTGCATGTCCCTTTTGCCCCTTCACCAACCCATATCGAGGAACGTGGTTAAGTATGGTCAAACAATCCCATGTGAGGCCAACTGAGCTATGTAGCTCTTTTTCAGAAACCACCTGGCCACGAATGATAGCTCAATGAAGTGGCTTATCATGTGGAAATGTATAGCAGCCGCATACTCTAAACACCATGGCTTGGTCTATATTAAGCAGTACATGCACAAGTGAAGTTTACTTTTACTCGTTATTCTAAAATGCAAAACAATAAGTGCACACCATTTATGTTCGTTGTATGGCTTAAGCAAATCAGTGCCAATGCTGGAAACCGTTGTCGAAATGTAACAAAAATACTGACAGCAGTTGGTGCGTTGTCTAGACTCATGGAAAAATATTTTTTCGTGGGGTTTTCAGGCAGATTGAACTTTTACTTAGCATTTCTCCTATAACGAAGCTTTCATGAAAAACGCGCTGCACGTTTCGTTTAAGAATGCAGACACCGTCTTGAAATCACCCCCTCTCTCTTTCCCAAAATGCCTCGGGTGATTGGATGCTGGAAGCACGGTACAGCTAGCTGCGCAGGTGCAATAATGTACAGGTGTCTTTATTAGCGGTACAAGACAGTTTGTACTGCTGTGTTAAATAAGTCTCGGAATCAATAACAGATTTACTTATAATGCCGTGGAGGCAGCTGAGCCCCCATAAAGGTGTCTGAAGTGTTTTACTGCCTCCATTATGCTCGTCCATGTGCAAACCCCGTCGAGTTTTACTGCCACCTAATCCCGCTGCAGAGACCCCTTACCCTCAGCACCCCGGCAAGCACTGGATATTATTTGCTATTATTTTAATTATGCAGCTCGTCTACATACATAATTTACTGGTAATTAGAGCAGTTTACTTATATTCATTGCAGTATAATGCTTCTCTATAATTACATTCTCATTTTTACTGCATTATTTGTTTCGGGAATGCATTTCGATTCACTATTTGTTTTATTTGTGCTATTTATAACTATCCAGAAGCTGGACTATGCGATATTTTAACAAACACTCGTAGAGCATTATTTTAAAACCCAAAATGTTTGGGTTTTTTTACAATGTGAATGCTGAGGTCAGTGTTTGGCACGCTTTATAACAAGATATAATCGAATCACAAAATATGTAATTATACTATTATCCATATTTACATTAATTTATTTCATGACATGCATATATGTGTCAATGGAAGTAAATATGTTCCAGATGTGTGGGTTAAGGCTGCCATTCTAATTCTGTCATACACACAGTTACCTCAAATGTGATTCACGCGGTCTCCAGAGAGATCACAAAGCAGCTCCAGTGATACATGCATTTGAAACCGTATCTTGCTCTGCCCGTGCTATTATTATATCACTTGTGTACCAAGAGCATTGCTGCCAAAATTAAATGCCATTTTACGGTCACAGGCTCACTTATGCACACTGTTTAAAAACTTTCACTTGACATGTTTTAAATTACTCATCTGTGACTTCATATCTCAAAATGCATAAAGTATGTGCATCGTAGGCTTGGTCTGGTCAAGGTACATGCACCAAGTTACACTACACGTATGTGTATACAAGTATGAATGTGTATCAGACATTGGTGCAGCCATAGTAATATATTGGCTTATCATGAAACCACATGTTTGGTCTTTTACAAACTTTGTAGATGTGGAGGTACCATTTTTGTTAAGATTTTATAAAATAAAGCAAGTATGCTATTATTTGTCCTAAACATGACAGTAAGCTGTTTTTTCCCTTCCTATTCAACCCATGCTAACTCGAAACAGCGTCATACTAAATAAATTATTGTTCTGCCAATCTTCTCAACAGCCGACGCAATAAGTTTTTCCAGATGTCACCAGAAACCTTGAGGTGAGGTCAAATAATTAATGTGCCCATACTGAGGTCGTCTGCCTCCATTAAGCCAACCTTGGAGACAATTTAGCAGGTTACTTAAAAAGGGGGTGAGGCAGAAAAAATCCTGACAATGAGCTATCAGCACATGGGGGGGGGGGGCGGGGGTGAAAGCTACCACAAATCTTCTTCCACATTTACATGATAAAAAAGCCTAGCTTGTGCGTTACATGACAGTGCATTTGCAGCGATGACTTATCAGTTAGCATAATCTTTCATGCCGAGTCCAAGCTAAAGGGGGGCCAGTCATTTTTATTGAAGCTGTTTGAGCAGTTTTTCATGTTAGTTTGAAATGAAATTACTTTGCGATATAGAGCTGTGTCTAAGCTGTCGCTATACATCAGCCAGACTGGGCAGTCAGTCCCATGGTGGTCTGGGCTATTTTTTTTCTCTTCTCCTTTTTTGTGCCGTGCCCTTGGATACAATGCAATTCATGCAGCTTGCATTTCACAGTTTTTTTAGGACGGCACATGCTTGCGTCTATGTTGGTTATATTCACAATGACGAATGCGGCTTAACAGGAAGAATTCCCTGCAAAATTACTCACGCAGTGGATTTACAGGAGAGCATTCAATATGGCGCTAGAGAATACAGGCTTTGGAGATGACGCACAGTCGGTACTGCTATTGCAGTGAATGTCCACTTATTGGAGTGAACATTAAACACTCACTTTACCATAAGCAATATGAGAATTGGCGCTCTAGCATTTATACCGGTTGAACAAAAAAATATAAACCTGAAGTCGTAACATTTATAATAATGACCCCATTTTGTGCTGTGCGAAAGGCGTGTAAGTTGGGAAATGGCTTTTCAGCCGTGCAATTGAGTAATATTTCTTTCAGAATAACACAACCTGATACCAAAAGTGATCTGTCCTTCCAACAAAATAATAATTGATTCCTACAGATACATACGATTACTCGAGTTATTACACGGCGTGGGGAAAATATAAAATAAAAAGAATGTGCGCAAGGACGTGACTAAAATACCCCCACCCATAGAGGTATTGTTTCCAAAACATTGTTGCTGGCATCACTTTTCACTCTGTATTTATTGGCGTCAAGGTTACCCTGCTTCACGAGATAGGACGGCTTGCCAAGGGGGTGTCATATAGTGTTGCACATCCAAGTAGTTTGCAGGCATGCTCCGTTTGCAGTTGTGACAGCTGGTGTTTGTGTTTGGTGACTTCCCTGTGGCACAGGGGATTTAAGAAATTGAGTCGACTTGTTGGAGAGTATACATTAAATATCACATCTGCATAAAGTCATGGTAGTGTATGCAACTCTGGGCAGCGTGCAAATGTGTTTTTACGTTTTAATGCTAATTTCTGCAGTTTATTTTGTTTAATGATATATGAATACAAACACATCTTCCCTTAGGTCTAGATCTGCTTGAAACCCTTTACAAGTGTTTAAAAGCCAACATGCTGTGGCCATAATAACTTTGAGAGTTCTACTTGTAATGGGGATTTTATCTTGCTAAATCACTGTCGTTAATAAATCATATTAACCATAACATGCTTCAGCCTGAAGGCAGAATATGTTCCTTTCTTTTCACACTTATTCAGAACTAATCTCATACATAGTTTTCACTAAGCATGCAGAATACTGATTTATTTTATAATGTAATCTTTAACACGTAGGCTTTCACAACCAATAGACTCCATAAGAGGTGTTTTTGGGTTAGATCGTGATCTATTATGTATCTTATCTTTCTTTCCTTTTTGTTTACAAAATCGTAATGCTCAAATCGCGGTGCAGAACCATGGTATAAAAACACTATCTAAAAATGTAATGCAAATAAAAAACATAATTAATGTTATTGTTGTATATAATTCATAGCAATGTATTCTATGCAGATATAAAACATCTAAAACGTATATTTCTGCTTGGAGGGCATCAAGAGCAACTCAATGTTGTGGTGTAATTTAGAACCCATGGGTGGTACATGGATGGTGGACAACAAAAGTAGGCTTGCTATGAACTATTCACAAAGCCCCGATAGCTCGCAGTGGGATTTTTATAGTTAATTTTGTTTCAGAATTCGGGGCGATAGCAGTTTAAATTAAAACATTACAAATGTGCTTTTGTGGTGATGACACACAAGCAAATGTGATGATAAAAATACCAATTTAACAGGAAACTTTTTGAGCAGATCAAGGGCAGAACATTATGTTTTGTTAAACGTGTATTGGGCATAATATGTCACTTGTAATTTGTTTTCACCTACATATATATTTTTACAATATGTCAAGAGAATATTAAAAACATACCACTTTGTGTAAGTACGCAGGTTCACAGGTCATGTGCTCATGGCATCGCTTGCTATCGTTTACCGGCAGTGTGCAGCGGAACAGAGAACAAGCTCAGCGCAAGTGCCACGCGCGAGCTTCAGTACCAGACCCTGCGCAAGATCTACGAGCACTGTGAGGTCGTGCTGGGAAACCTCGAGATCACCAACATTGGGCCCGACAAAGACCTCAGCTTCCTGCGGGTGAGAGAGACCTTGGGGCAGGATGGCCTTCCAGGTTTCGCCTCGATGCCGAGATAACCTTCGTCGCAGAATCTTGGTCTGAGCTCGGGTTCCTTTGCACAAACAAGGCTCTGATTTGGTTGAAGTCAGGAATGCTTGTATTTGTGAACCATGCAGGATTAGGGCAATCCATTGAGGTTCCTGCACTGGTGCCTCTACATTTGGGCAGAAAAGCACTGCACGTTAATATTTGCGGTCGGGTTCGTAGAGTCTTTTTCATGAAATCTTATTTTTATGAATGCAGATGTGGAAAGAAATGAGGCCAATATTAAAAAAGATGAATGGATGCATGAATTGTTAATGTAGCAGTGTAGTATACATGCACATTATGTTGAATGCTGTGATTTTTTTTTAGGTTAACTGGCTACATTATTTTTATGCTGAAAATGCTTAACACTCTTATATATATGGATCATAAAACTATTTAATATATATTACATCTTAAATGTGCTGCTATAAATGACACATTTCACCAGTTGTACAACACATGTTCGCATGTTTTTTCTTTACATTTTAACACGTTAAACCAGTGCTGCATGTTATTTATGGCTTTGGTATGCATGAAATATTCATAATTGTTCACCTCTAACCACAGTGCAGCACAATTCTACTGAAATGCCAATATCAAATGAAGTATTTCACCATGAATTTATTTCCAATGCAAAATTACTATTTTTTTATGATAGAATGACAAGACATATGCGTGTATAGAGGGTGTGAAAACAGCTTTACATATGCCTGACAATAGTGTATTTATCTCAGCTTTCCAAGGATTTTATCAACACTGCAGTTTGGGCTGGAAGACAAGTGTCATGTTAATGCTATTAAGCTTCAGAAATGTTTTGTTTCTCATTTATTAAATTAAGAATTACAGCCTTTTGTCAATCCATTGCTGAATATTTCACACTCTTTATCCAAAAGTGAATAAATAATGGCTGGTGGGGTTTTCCCCCAACATATATTCCTTTAGTTTATGTACTATCTGCACCCTTCCACAAAGACATCGTCATACATCATTTCGAGTTCTACTCTAGCTGTAAATAAAGTACTCAATTATATTTTTGTTACTTATAAATATGCACACACGTTGATGAATTTGACCAAAGTGTATCAAACGTGTGCGAGTTAACAGGCAACATAATAAATAAATAAACTTGCCCATAGATGAACTGGAGGAAAAGCTTGATAACTGTATTTTTATTACGTTAACTACATTAGCATATTATTATGAGAAAAGCAAAAGTCACGTACGATGAGTTTGCTAAACAAAATAAACAGTGGCCGCAGACAAGTGGGAAACACAGCAAATATGTACAGTATATCGAGGGAAATTAGTGATGGCAGGACGGAGGGCATTTGGATTGCTGGATTGATAATGAAAAATTAAAAAGTTGTCGATCATTGCATATAAACCATGACGGATCAGAAACGTAGATAATGACAAAAACCTGAAGAGTCCACAAGGAAGCCTGCTTAGAATTTAAATTTAGGGTCAGTGGAGGAACGAAACACACGTGATGAACGTCATATTAACCTGTAAGGAATGTAAGTTAGCTTGAGCAGGACACAATCCTGGTGATGGAATGTGAGTCAGTCAAAGCAGAGAGCATGCTCAGATGGATCACTGTGGCGATGGCGTGATGAGATCAGCTCATGTGCAAGAGCGAGATGGATTGTGGCATCGCAAAATGAGAAATGGTGATGACGTGGGGAGGACTTCGTCTCAGCAGTGGCTAGAACATGGCTGATGTTCCTTACAGTCATCATCATCATCATATTAAAAGCATGTACATGCATGTTTACCTTTAGAGCTTATTGAAACGTTTAAGTTTCAAAATTGTATCATATCCATGAGCTAGTGTTCATTGTGCCACGAAAATTCTATAAAGAAAAGTTGCATTTCATGCACATTAAATAGTACAAAGGTTGGTGCTCATTCCCTTACCAGCTGGCATTGTGTGCCTTGCCGTGACCTTGGGTTGATCCACCTGATAAATGAGCCATGCGTGAGCATTCTATAACACCAGTTTCTGAGAAGTTTAAAAAATTGCATTCGACACAGACACACATGGTGAAGGGCTCAGACCACATATGCCTATGACTGTGGTTAATGCGATTTTGCAGAGCTCTGGTGTAGACTTACACAATGCCTTTGACATCTTTAAACTATACATGGAAGTCTACTTTGGAATGTGTTGGATACAAATCCTGTACTACCACAGTACTAGAAAAATATGAATGAAGGTTATTACTGTTAAACTATTGTTCTGTAGCTATGGAGATATCTTATTCCAAATCAGAGCGACCTTGTACTGTTATTTTTTTTTTGCAATTCTCCTGCCTGATAGACTTCATCAACAGCAAAAACAGACAGAGTTTTGAGTTTATTTGGCCAGACCAACACCAATGAGTTCGGTTTCGTATTGCAGCAGACACATTACTCAATGTTATGGGTTGCATTTCCATGTGTGAGCCAACATGTTACACAATATTTGAAAATGTACTATGGAATCCATTATTTGTGCCTCAATGTTATTTTATTGTCACCTTTTAATGTTTGGTTTTTTGAAACAAAGGACAATTGTTTCCACACTTTTGCCCTTTAGCCTTAATTTACTTGCAGCTATGCTAAGTTCCCAATTCTTACAACTTCCCTAACATTTTTAGACCACTTTTATCATAAAAAATCAGTCATATATGTAAAGTGTAACTTTTTTATCAACATTTATCTACCGAAATCAAATTTAACGTTGAAATTTCTCGGATTTTTTGGTTTGAACGATGTAACGTTGTAGTCATCTGATAATCTATTACCAAGGTTATATGTTTAAATAATAATAATTGCTCTTATCTTTTGCAATTAAAAATAAAGATAGGAATGTTGCATTACTAAATTGCCATCTCAAGGACTTATTGTTTCAGTGGTAAAGGTCTAAAGCGCTACAATTATAATGATGCAGACATTTGGTTGCCATATGTACAGTATAAACAGTGTGTGATATAAACCTCATGACACACTACCTTGCCAGAAAGTTGCCTCTTTTTCAGCATTGGTTCTCTTCATTACTTGGCTTTAAAGTAGATGGATAAAACACATTAAATCTGTCTATAGTTACAGTGAGGGAAAAAAGTATTTGATCCCCTGCTGATTTTGTACGTTTGCCCACTGACAAAGAAATGATCAGTCAAGAATTTTAATGGTAGGTTTATTTGAAAAGTGAGAGACAGAATAACAACAAAATCCAAAAACACGCATGTCAAAAATGTTATAAATTGATTTGCATTTTTCATGAGGGAAATAAGTATTTGACCCCTCTCAATCAGAAAGATTTCTGGCTCCCAGGTGTCTTTTATACAGGTAACGAACTGAGATTAGGAGCACACTCTTATAGGGAATGCTCCTAATCTCAGCTTGTTACCCATATAAAAGACACCTGTTCACAGAAGCAATCAATCAATCAGATTCCAAACTCTCCACCATGACCAAGACCAAAGAGCTCTCCAAGGATGTCAGAGACAAGATTGTAGACCTACACAAGGCTGGAATGGGCTACAAGACCATCGCCAAGCAGCTTGGCGATAAGGTGACAACAGTTGGTGCGATTATTCGCAAATGGAATAAACACAAAAGAACTGTCAATCTCCCTCGGCCTGGGCTCCATGCAAGATCTCACCTCGTGGAGTTGCAATGATCATGAGAACAGTGAGGAATCAGCCCAGAACAACACGGGAGGATCTTGTCAATGATCTCAAGGCAGCTGGGACCATAGTCACCAAGAAAACAGTTGGTAACACACTACGCCGTGAAGGACTGAAATCCTGCAGCACCCGCAAGGTCCCCCTGCTCAAGAAAGCACATATACATGCCCGTCTGATGTTTGCCAATGAACATCTGAATGATTCAGAGGACAACTGGGTCAAAGTGTTGTGGTCAAATGAGACTAAAATGGAGCTCTTTGGCATCAACTCAACTCGCCGTGTTTGGAGGAGGAGGAATGCTGCCTATGACCCCAAGAACACCATCCCCACCGTCAAACATGGAGGTGGAAACATTATGCTTTGGGGGTGTTTTTCTGCTAAGGGGACAGGACAACTTCACCGCATCAAAGGGACGATGGACGGGGCCATGTACCTTCAAATCTTATACCTTCAAATCCCTCAGCCAGGGCATTGAAAATGGGTCCGTGGATGGGTATTCCAACATGACAATGACCCAAAACACACAGCCAAGGCAACAAAGGAGTGGCTCAAGAAGAAGCACTATAAGGTCCTGGAGTGGCCTAGCCAGTCTCCAGACCTTAATCCCATAGAAAATCTGTGGAGGGAGCTGAAGGTTCGAGTTGCCAAACATCAGCCTCGAAACCTTAATGATTTGGAGAAGATCTGCAAAGAGGAGTGGGACAAAATCCCTCCTGAGATGTGTGCAAACCTGGTGGCCAACTACAAGAAACGTCTGACCTCTGTGATTGCCAACAAGAGTTTTGCCACCAAGTACAAAGTCATGTTTTGCAGAGGGGTCAAATACTTATTTCCCTCATAAAAATGCAAATCAATTTATAACATTTTTGACAAGCGATTTTCTGGATTTTGTTGTTATTCTGTCTCTCACTGTTCAAATAAAGCTACCATTAAAATTATAGACTGATCATTTCTTTGTCAGTGGGCAAACGTACAAAATCAGCAGGGGATCAAATACTTTTTTCCCTCACTGCACTGTTGGGTATATTTGGCTATAAAATTAATAATTGGTTGTCATTATCACAGCATTCAAACCTGGTGGCCAACTACAAGAAACGTCTGACCTCTGTGATTGCCAACAAGAGTTTTGCCACCAAGTACAAAGTCATGTTTTGCAGAGGGGTCAAATACTTATTTCCCTCATAAAAATGCAAATCAATTTATAACATTTTTGACATGCGATTTTCTGGATTTTGTTGTTATTCTGTCTCTCACTGTTCAAATAAACCTACCATTAAAATTATAGACTGATCATTTCTTTGTCAGTGGGCAAACGTACAAAATCAGCAGGGGATCAAATACTTTTTTCCCTCACTGCACTGTTGGGTATGATATTTGGCTATAAAATTAATAATTGGTTGTCATTATCACAGCATTCATTTGATCAATCATACTGTTTCACCAATTGTCAATAAAAAAGTACGTACTTATTAAAATAAAAATTAAGAAACACATAGTTTAACATGGATGTCAGAAAATAATGTATTGACCAGACCTCATCTATGCATTATGTTGCAATTTGTTTATAATCATGCATAGGTTTAGTATAGATTGCATGGGTGCATATGTTATAGAGACGGCATATTTTGACAGGAACAACACCATAGGTGTCATGTTACATTCGTTTATCGCTTGCTTTCAATTCAGCATGCCATTTTCTTTACCTGTGTAGTGGGTTCGAATTAGGTGCACACACACGCAGCTTGGAGGCAACACTATTTATTAAACGGTAAGTAATATAACACTGTACATGAGGTGGTGACCACCTTCCTCAACTCACTAACACTCTGGAACACGACACAGACTGGACCAGGCAGGCAACGGCCTGCCTGGCCCAGGACGACGACTCGGGACTTGACGACCGATGATGTCTTCACTTCGGATTACAGTACAACAGCCTCGCTCTGCGTTCACACCACGCTTATATCTGCTTTGGCGTGGTCGGCTCCGCCCAGGCGTGGCTGGCTCTGTCCAGGCCACGCCTCCCTTCCCAGGCCACGCCTCCCTTCCCCCACCTCTGGGAAGGTCCGTATCCCTCCACCACGTAACCCCCCAGGCACCCCCTTGGGGCCCCCAGCCCTCGTACGGGCCGACACAGTAGTGACCATTCTATGTCACTACACCTGTGTAGTGACATCGTGGGATGTCAATTTGCAGTTCTGGCTCTAAGAGTGGCATGGCGTGCAGTGTAACAACATCGCGGATACCACAAGGATGTGGGTGTAGTACCGGCCCTAGAGGGGCCCGGTGAGTGCTGATTGATAGCGCTAGATGGCACCACGCTTGGCGTGCAATGCAAACCCTGCAGGACAGGGTGTGTGAGTGCCGGCCGTAGGATGAGGTTACTAAAAGCCATGGCACTCTGGTTGACCCGGGAGGACACGTGACCAGTTAAGTCTACAAAGGGGCCCCAAGTGGGGGCTAGGGGTGGTCATGTGGTTGGGATCCAGTTCCTTCTCGAGGATTTTGGAAGGTGGTCGTGGCCAATGGTGGAGCCAGTCATGCCGCAGAGAATATAAGCCGGGTCCCAAAAGGGACCAAGGTTGTTGTTCATCCTGGAAGAAACCTTCGTCTACATTCTCCGTTCAACGTGTCTCCAACACGTGGACCTGGACCCAAGCTCTGGTCCCGGTCCGTAGTAGCAGTTACGTTGTAATTAGTGTAGTTAGCCTGATGGTCACCACTATAGGTTGTTATTCTGTTAAGGGGAAAGTTACCCCCTGTGTTGGAGTTGAATAAATGTGTTGTCTTCTTGGTTCTTTCGGTAAAGTCACGTAGAAGGGAAGCAATAAAATAATAAAAATAAAACATAATAAAATAAAATAATTCTCACGACGTTTCGGCCACAACGCAAGCAATCGAAATGTGTTGTCTCCAAGTCTACGTCTGCGACTCAGTTGAATTCACTACACAAGCAAAGAAAGCAAAAAGTAAAAATGCTTAAGCTAGAAGCAAGTATTTCATCAGCTGACTTTAAAAACCAAAAAGTTTATACCACACTCTCTGACGATTGCCACAAAGACAACAAAAATAACCGACTGTAACATTGTGACAAGCAATTACATTGGTTACAGAATACATTATATTGGGTATGAGATTTGCATGCAAGAATGCATAAAACAGAATTGTGAGATATGTTTTTTGTCAAGAAATGTTTAAGTTAATAGTCAGAGAATCTCTGTGACAGGGGCGGGGGGAGTGGTGGTGGCCTTAAATGTGGTGTTGAAACTGAGATGAGGTCCACGCATAGACACATAGAAAACCCATCTTGCTCCAGATTATAACATAATCCATTGTTATTGTTATATAATTACAATACCTCCCCCCTCCCTCTACTTTCTGCACCCTGCACCTGATTAGCTCACCGTAATGACGTCATTTTGCTCTATTATAAGACCAGAAGCAGGTAGCACACATCACAATTCTGGCAAAATAGTTTGATTCTGGTCATAATCACCAGCAAAACATTGTACTAAAATTGTAAATGTTGTGAATTTACTATCCAGTGCATTGGTGGGCTGAAGTAGTAACTAATTGACACGTTTTGTTTACATGACAAACCTAACTAATTGACTGTGTCGGGTGGTGGCGGGTTAACGACACATTTATACTTATGTAGTGTGTTAACTTAGGTGCACGCTTGTACTTGGAGGCAACACGTTTATTTAACACAATGGGTAACTCTAACAGGATACCAGCATAAGGTGGTGACCACCACGACTAACTAAACTGACACTCGGAGAGACAATTCTATAGTTGGACCAGAACAGCTAACTGGCTGCCTGGTCCATGCATGAAGACCGGAGACAGAGGACCGAGGATCGAGGATGGCGACTTCATTTCCAGAGTTGAACGCCCTGATCCCCCTCGGGACCCCGCTTATAACTCCCCTGGCGTGGCCGGCTCCGCCCTGGCCACACCTCTGGATCCCCATCACATGATCCTCTCACCCCCGACTGGGGGCCCCTCGTCCGGTCACGTGCCCTTCCCGTGTTCACCTCGCTGTCACATCCTGACACGACCCCCTTCTCAGCGACACCCGGGCTCCGCCCTTACAGTACCACCCCTCACACGGCACTGCCTCTACACCGCGGTGACCCCCTTGAGGCCACCACACTTATTTGCTCTAACCCAAAACAACTCTTTATTATCGACAAATATATCTGCGTCTCCTTCTGTTGATTGCTTTTATCCAGCTATTAAGCCTGTTGAACTCTGAAAATTTGTTTTGTAGTTTTGCAACATGGCAAAATGGTTATTCAGATACTTTGAATAATACAGCAGCATTTGTTGCTGTTAATGAATGCCATATATTGAAATGTGTTCTGTTGTTACAATGCTTCCCTTGTCCATTGACTGGGATATTTACTTGAAATGCGTTGCAATGTAATGTAAATAATCTATTAAGAAACGCAAAATCATGCTAGAGCATCTCTAATGCATGTTACTGTCTCGTCACACTATATTCATTCAATTAATTTTAAGGCATCTTAAAGTGGTTGGAGCTCAAGGTTTTTGTTCTTGAGTTTGTCGGGTTGAGAATTCCATGAGACAGAGCTCTCCCGTCTTCTGAAAAGCTCTGTCACCAAACGTCAATTCCATTTTTTTGCATTTTTTTACAAATGTGCACGCAGATGCAAACGAATTAAAAACTCCCCATCATTTATAAAAAAAAAAAAAACCCTGTTAAATGTATTCCATGAATCTTCTTGGCTCTTTCGGTAAAGTCACGTAGAAGGGAAATAATAAAATAATAAAAATGAAACATAATAAAATACAATTCTCACGACGTTTCGGCCACAACGCAAGCAGCCGTCCTCAGGTGAAGAACAGGTCTGTCGGAAAGACAGCGTCTGAATGAACACCACCAAGCTTGGCAGCGTATATTTAAGCTGGGTTAGGGGAGGAAGGGCACCTTGACAAAGGAATTTGCATATCAACAGATGAATTTAGCATATTTATGGAAAATGCAGATATAGGATTAGTAACTACTTGTGGAATGCGTAGGAGGTGGGGGGGGGGTCTCAAAGTCATATTATGCCCGTGCATTATGTAGGATTAGCAGCAACAAAGGGAGGAGGTAGGGTTAGCAGTAATAAAGGGAAGGAATTTTAATAGTAAGGAGCTGCAGCAGCCAAACCACCACGTAAAAAACTAAAATATAAACTACATCAATATCATCAATATACTAAATATACTCTCTCCAATAAGCTGAGCTACTAACAGTAAGTCATACATTACAATTCTACGTCGCAAAAAATATAATATGCCTCCAGCTAAACTTTTTCCTTACCTCACACGGATCTACCCCGTACTATATACTGCCATAGACAAAACCAAAATTAAATTATAGACTGCATTACTATATACCACCCTATACTTTAGACTATACATTGTAATATTACACTATGTATTATTCTACCCACCCTACTGTATACCACACTGTGTATTCACTATACAATTACGATACTATATATTACCTTATACATTATATTAAACATTACACTTTTATACTATTTATTATTATACAATCTGCTAAACACTATACCATTGACCGTCGCGTGAAAGGTACTAAGAGGAAGCAACGAAATATGTCAATGGGAGAGTGGTGAAAGGGGACTTGCAGCAGAGCAAAGACTCCATATTCCATGAATGTTTATTATTCGTAGCCCAAAATATATATATATACATTCATTGAGAGATTTCCCTTTATGCTGCGCGAATAGCATATGCGTTCCAAGAAAAGTGCGCCCAATGCAAAACCGTACGAGGAGACAACTGCCTGCCGACTAGCGCACACAGTACGCACAGTACACACACAGTAAGCACACATTAGACACAGTACACACAGTTTTGTCACATGTCCCACCGCATAGCCGCATGTAGAGTGAATTCAAACCGCATACAGTGAATGTTGGGTGGAAATAGGTTATCTGCATATACACTAAATCGCACAAACTGTACCTCCGCAAAGCGACGAAAACCTGTATGTTGCACCAAAACATTGACCTTTAAGTGTAGATTATGAAGATAATTTGCTGTGAACTAGACATGGGAACAGATGTGTACAATCATTATATTTTTACTTCCTCGCTGGACTTGCCCTTTGATTTATCTACCGTGTGATTGCTGCACATCCACACGCATTGACAACATTAATATTAACGTAAGCTCCTGTTTTTTCTGGGGTTTTCTGTGCTCGCTGCAGACTATTCACGAGGTGTCGGGCTATGTGCTCATCGCCATTAATGAGTTTGAACACCTGCCACTGGAGAACCTGCGAATCATCCGAGGCACCAAACTCTATGAAGACAAGTATGCGCTGAGTGTCTTCCTCAACTATCGCAAGCACAGTACCAACCGTAACGGGCTCAAGGAGCTGCGTCTGCACAACCTAACAGGTGAGTGCTTAAACAACTGCTGCGCTGCTGCAGGGAATGGTGGGTGCCACATTGTCTCCTTTATTGCTTGTCTCCAGGAGCTTTATAGGCTAAGGCATCCATGGTGGCAGGACCACACAAATGTTTAGACTTGGTACTGCATTCATTAAGTGGCCCTTGCCAATATTCTGTTTGGGAACTAAAGGAAGAATGATGTCTGACACTTCACGATGTATTGGTCCTGCCTGGGTTGTTATTCAACACACGGGTTTAATAACCACGGTGATGGAGTTCAGGGTTAAACAATGGCAGTGCTTCAAGCTTGGATGCAGTCCATCTTTCCACATTTGCTAAACTTTATTCACATGCCAAATGGATAACAAACTAAATTACACACCCACGATGATTTGATCATGTGAAAAGATTTTCAGTCTATTCCTTGAGGTCTTGTGTTAGTCATATGATGTAAGAATTCAATAATAATATTTGTATAAAATGCTTTGCCTCTGGTGGTCTTTACGTTGTTTAACTCTGTACGTAAAATGTAGACTGCTCACATAAATTAAATTATTTGGAACTGTGTACTCAAATAAAGAATAAATATTTATGTGGAAAGTGTTTAAAGCGTAGTCTTTCGTGACCAATATCCATAATACAGGTATTTGGGTTAGATTGCATGAATATAAATCTGTCGTTAAACCCGCCACCACCCTACACAGCCAATTAGTAAGGTTTGTCACAACGTTTACAATCTGAGTATGACGTTTCGCCAGTAATCGCCAGAAATCGGCATCATCAGGCTGGCGAAACATCGTACTCACATTGTGGATTTTCTCTCCAACACACCGGTGTGTTGTACTAGTAACGAATTGGCATGTTTACAAACCTTATAATTAGCTGTGTTGGGTGGTGGCGGGTTTAACGACAGATTGTATTATTGGTGGAAAGTGTTGTCTCATACATTTAGCATTGCTAATTGTGTTCAGTGTATCACATCTAAAAATTGCCTCACATTGTAAATATCTCGAGCATTTCAGAGGTTACTGATCCGATAATTTCCTGTAAATTACGTTGTGCCCATTGATGACAATGGTCAGAATGTATTTTCAAAGCTGTTACTTGTTTATATGTTTGCTACAACAATGCCACCAGGAGTCTAGTTTTTCATTACATTTAGTATAATCCCACAGGGTCAGAGAACATGGTGCAAGTAGGCTCTTGTTGTCTACCCATGGCACATCATTTACCCCACCCTATACCCAGAATTCCTCACTTTCTTCCCTGCACAGTGGATTGGTACAGCATGGGCTAAACCACCTTAGCCTAAAAATAGGACAAAATGTGGCCACAGCACATTTTGTACGAGAGAAGAGGGGGCAACAGGTGTTGATTTATTTTCTTTCTCTACAAATATTTTATTAGGCTTGTCAAAGTGAACTATCGTAAAACAATACAATTATGCAAAAATTGTATCCGCAATAAAAGAACGCGCATCACTGTGGGAATTGGCATTAATTAATTTAGTGTTTGGTTTCCTTTATATCTGAACTGAGAATGGATATATAATGTCATGAATTATTGATCAAATTTGTGGCAATGGAAATATATGATCACTTTGCTTTATAAGCTCTTGTTAATGTAACCGAAAGTGATTAACTTTGAAGCATAAATATATAAATATAAATACCCTTTGCAATGCTGAGGCAATCAGAACGACTGCAACTCAGTCATACATTTTTATGTTATTATATTCATACATGTTTTGTTTGAATTTCCATTATACCATCAAAATGTTGTAATACTCCAGAGAGATCTTCCCACAATCTAAATTATGTATAATTACTAATTAAAGCCATTGTCAGTTATGATCAATCCACTGCTTGCTGAAGGCCTTCTCAATCTGTCACCACCTCTTATGGTCCTGTGATGTAACAAACCAACCTGCACTGACCAGCATTATGAAGCAGTCACATATCTATCCTCCCGAATGGTAGTGGAAAAAAATGTGTCTATCATAGTTCTGAATGAACCACAATTATTTATTCGAATAAATTAGAAATCACTGGCAAAGAAATATGATGTCAGAACAATATACTGTGCCTTAAATACAAATGTGATGTAATAATCTATTGTATGAAACGTAAATAGGTTGTCCTGTTTTAAACAGCTGTCAGTAAACAAGCATTGGAAATCAATGCCGCTTCAGCATATTTCAAATGTATATGATGCTTATGCTCGTGTAGTGAGTCACTTCGGAGACACTAATAGCAGGTGGCATACACGTTTATTCCACACTTTTCACAGTATAGGGGATAACTATATATGGATCAGGACAGGCAGCACACTGCCTGACCCAACACCGACGTGGAGGACGAAGACTTCGTAGACGACAGGCTCCATTCCCAAACCGCAGCAGCCCGACCAAGCGTCGGGGCCTCCCTTTTATCCTCCCCAGCATGGCCTGGCTCCGCCCTCGGCCATGCCCCCTTCTGGAACCTACCAGAAGGTTCTGGGCTCTGCCCCACGTGTCCCCTCTGTCACCTTTACCCCACATCCATTACCCCGGCCTATCACGTGCCCTACTGGCTGACCGACTGCTGTATCTTCAAATGCCCCTTCTCTGCCAGCAACCGGCGCTATGTGCTCCAGTGGAACTCTACACCTGCCCTGCTGGTAGACCAGGCTATTACACCCACGATCCCGCTCTCTACCAGTAACCAGTGCTACGCACCCTAGTGACCCTTTCTATGTCACTACACTCGTAATTGAAAGTTTTAAGGGTCAGGGAACATGGTACAAAGTAGGCTTTTTTGGCTTTTGGCAGAAATAACACTTACGAAGCTCTTGAGCCTGTAAATTCTGCCTCATTGAAGGAGGTCGATCCTGCATATGACACTGAACACTATACAATCTGTGCACAAAATGTGATAGGTGTATCTTAGTGTCTATCTTTATGTTTCCACATTAACTCATGTCTGTTAGGAGTATGTATTATTGCATGAATTTAAAGAGTATTTCCAGACCAATGCACAACACCTCTGATTAGCATGGTTGGCTACGTATGGTGTAAAAGAAGTTCAACATACAGTAAACCTTAGTTAATTCCACACGTATGGGGCTCTGGCCTTGCCGAATTATCCAATATTCCGGATTATGTACAATGGCACTCCTCAGTGCCTCCTGCCCCAATAAAGAAAAAAAACCGAATTTGTTTTCCAAAAACTTTTTTTCCAAAAAGTAACACTTACCATCAGTGACCAGGACTGCAGGCGAAGAGGATTTGCAGGTTCCATGTGGTGACAGATGTTGTGGAGGGGGACTTAGTATGCACTTACTGGACTGTATGTTCACTTTATCACCAAATACTTGAACTTAAACTTCACATGTTTCACTTAACAATGAATGTTTAAATTTCGATTTAAAGCTTTCATGACTGCAGGGATTCATATTCTTGGTTCTTTTGGTAAAGTCACGTAGAAGGGAATAAAATGATAAAAATACAACAATAAAATTCTCACGTTTCGATTGCAACACAAGAAAGAACCAAGAATATAATTAATGTTTACTTAAAGACTACATTATTTTACACTTTTACACCACATTACTCGCTGTCAAACGACATCAGCTGCTGTGGCACTTGACTGCTGAAAGAGGTGTCTGTGGAAGAATATCCTTGATCCTCTTAAATAACTTTTTGGAGCTGCTAGGATCTTCCAAGGTCAAGGTATACTTCCTATTCTTCTCCCGGCCTTTATTGATGTCGTAAAAGGTTCTTGATTTTATGTCAAACGCTTCACACACTATACGCATTGACACACCTGCATCAATTCTATCCATAACTTTGGATTTATACTTATACTTAAGTCCTTTTCTATTACTTCTTGATGTAGGTGTAGACGACATTTCTGAGAGGGTTGGTTTGCACAGAGTGCATCAACAAGGTAAAGTTCAAAGCAACAGATCTGCACTCACGCTCACCACGTGTTTCGCCACTAGACTGAGTCATTGTTTTGGCGTCGCTCCACGTGCATGCCGAAATTGGACCATTCGCTATGGCGATTCGGCTCATGGTGAATGACTAATTCTGCATATATGCCGAATGCGCAGTCGTGCCGAATTATCCTCAATTACAAAGTATCAAATACCAAAATAATGAGGTTTCCCTGTACATACGTATGTAGAGAAGTAGTACGGGGAGATTACAGTCACGCGCACTTTCCGGTGCGATGACGTCACGGGATGTGACGTCATGCGCGTTAGGCAGGGCGATGACGTCATGTTTCCTCTGGGTACTTAAGGGGGACCCCGTGACGAAAGCGTGGTCACTGGGAGCCCGGGACAGCGTACGGTTGAAGAGACAGCCAGGGTTAGGGTTCACGGAGTCTGGAGAGAAGCCGGCGATAGTGGTAGAGGTGGCTGCTCTCCCCGGTCGGTCGATGTTGGCTGATCCCCCGGTCCGACTCGGTGGAGAGAGCCTGGGAGCTAGCCAAGCTAGGGACAGACAGAGTGTGGGGTCGTGTGGAATTGTATTGTAACCCCTAATAAACATTTGGCGCAAGCCCCTAATACATACCTGCCTCAGCATCGTCAGTTGCACCTCAACACATACACCACATTGTAGTTTATTTAGAGGATTTGTTTTAGTTTTTTTCTTCATATATTCATCAATGCAAACATATGTAGTGAGTCCATAACCCTCCACCACCCGACACGGCCAATCAGTAAAAAATGTGTCACGTTGACAAAAGATAAATAGTTCACTACTTTAGCCCACCGGTGTGTCAAAAAGTGAATCCACAACATTTACAATTTTTGAGTACGACATTTCGCTGGTTATTACATCCAGCATCATTATTACATCCAGCATCATCAAATAGAGCAGCAGGGTGACGTCATCATTTAACCCAATCAAGTGCAGAGATCAGAGGCGGAGGGGGGGGTATTGTAATGAAAAATAGATGAATAATCGGTTAATTGTTATGATTAGTAATCAGTTGTAGATTAGTTATTAGTTGTAATGT